TGGTTATTGTTTGTATAGCAATCAAAAATCAATGCCATGGAAAAACATGTTTTAGATATATTTACACTTAATTAAAATATTTTAGCCAAATAATTGCCTAACACTCCTATAACTATCAAACTATGAAAAAGAACACTCTCGCTTGTGATTCACTGACATCCATTGACTTACTCTTTTCTTCACTCTAAAATGGTGAAGAGAAGTGGAACCAAGCAGACTTGGATTCCTATACCTAAGAAGTATCTCAGTAACTCAGGCAAGTTACTTAACCACTTAGAGCCTCAGTTTCCCAATCTTGTAAAATGCAGCTATTAATACCTGCTTGGTAGGATTGAGAAGATTGAATGAAATAAGTCATGTAAAGTGTTTAGCACAGTGCCTGGCATGTGGGACTGTGCAATACACCTTTTCCTGTGCCTCTAAAATCATTTTTTGGGTTAACTGGAGAAAGTGAACACGGGGAGTTCCTAGATCTTGTCAGTACGGATGTAGCATATGAGGTCCAGGGAGTCTCCAGGTGATTGAAGTTTGTGGGTTGGTATTGTGATATATTTTGATGGGTCTTTCTCAAGCTGTAAGTGTACCTGTCATGGGCACTCAGTAGACACTTAGGCCTTCTGACCCTTGATGTTTCTCATAAAATAAAGATAATACTTGGTGGGATATTTGAAAGGACTAAATGGCATAAATGCTAAAGAAAAAAAAGATGACAATTAGTGTAAGTTAGTGAAAATCCCAGAAATAAGCTAAAAATTGAAAGTTTGCCATCAGAGGCTCCTTAGAGGTAAATCATTCAACTTTTAGACATGAATTACATAATAATATTAGGTGCAGGATAACTTAGAATTTGCTTTCCTACCACCTAGTTACCCTCACCAAACCATTTAATATCCAACAAAACCTTGCTGAACAAAGTTAAAACTCAAATGTTGAATGTTATTAAATGTTGGAGTGCAATTTTTTAATTTTTATGAAAGTAGTCAAATCTATCAATGTTGTCCTATGTGTTCCTGCTGTCCATCTCATGCTTTAAGAGGTTATCTAGAGTCCAAGATTAGAAAAATATATACAATGTTTTTCTTGTATTTTTATGATTTCTATTTTTTGCATTTACTTTGTTGCCATGCGTGTGTGTGTGTGTACATGTGTGTGTAGTGGAAAATAGGAGCTAGGAACCTAAATTGTTTGATAGAAAATATTTAATTTATATTGGGATTCTATTAGATAATGTAAAATATCATTCGAAGTGATAAGACAGACAGCTCTCTATAAGGACTATTGGTCTAATATAGAGGTACTGTAAATATAGGAAAATATAATAGAGGTATTATATATCATAGTATTATATGAAACATTATGTATTATAATAGAGAATAAAGAAGTTTCTTCTAAATTTTCTTATTTTACAGTTGTGGTAGCATAGTACATACTCTATCCATGGATATTAAAGTATTTTTGTACTTGTATTTGTATATGATTATCTCTGCTGTTCTGGAATTTGACAGTATTCCAAATAAAGTAACAAACATCCCCACTCAAAGGTCTAATTGAACAGCTTTCTCATGCAACTCCCCTGCCTGTGCTTTGCTCAACCACTTCCTTTTTTTTTTAACTCCAGGCTGAAAAGTAACCCTATTATCTCTTAAAAGGTCAGCCTAAAGAAGATTCGAACTCTGTCTGAAAACCTGAGGGTTCTACTTCTTCATTGAGGCAGGAAGGTAACTATTAGAGTTCATCAGTCTTCTTTTCTAATTCTTATTGGGCTGGAATAAATGAAAACCTAGCTTGTACCAACAAAGTGCTTAAATAGGTAGAAGAGACATATCAGTGTGATTTTTAAAGAATTATGACAGAAAATCCCCAGTGACTAGCAGAAGTTGAATGTAACTTTTTTTTTCCAC